CCCTAAGCTTATCTTATAGTATTCTATTCCTAACCTTAATAATACTATTCTATTAATACTAATTAGTAGTAAAATACTATAGGTATATACCTAAGGAAATATAAGAGTTCTTAAACTAGGTTATAATATTCTCCCCCCCCCTAATTTAGCTAGATAAAGTAGTATTTATATTCTAAATATTCCTATATCTTTAGGAAATTTAGTATTATATTAAGTAGCTAAGATTTCTTTTTAATAAGGAATAGCTAGTATATTTTAATATAATTATTAATAATAATAACCTAGTACTAATCCTTCTTTTAAGAGGTAGGTAGGGTACTAATAATATTAGTATAAAGGCTTTTAAAAAAATATATTCCCTTTTAAAATAGATAAATATAGGGGCTTTTTTTTTATCTTCTTATAAGATAGCTAATATAATATTTATATTAGCTAATAGGCTTTATACTAGTAAAAATAAAGATAAGTTTAATAATATTCTATTCCCCTAAATATCTAAGTTAGTTATACTATAACTTATATTTTAAGTTATTTATTATATAGGCTAATATATTAATACTTAAAGTAATATAGTTAACTATATAGACTTTAGTAGTTTACTAGGTAGTAAAAATAACCCCTTAATCCTTTATTATAACTACTCTTTCTTTATTAAAAACTACTATAGTATTCTTTATTACTAGGTAGCTAATAGAGAATAGGCTTATTAAAGTACCTTTTTATAGAATACTATTATATAATTCTAAGGTAGTCTTAAGGCTTTTTATAGTAATAATAGCTATTCTATAAGTAATAGGTTTTAAGATAGTATTAATAAGACCTTAAATACTAAAGCCTAAGTAAAAGGATAGGTTCTTTATAAGTTCCTTATAGCCTAAGATATAGCTAGATATATTAGAGTTAAATAGTATTAGTTTTTAATATAATAATATAAAAAGACTAAAATCTTATCTAGGTTTAATACTTATAAAAGTACTATCTACCTTAAGTTAACTAAAGTATTATAAATTCTAAAAGATAATAAAAGTAAGTTAAGCTAGTTTAAAGTCTATAAAAAGACTTATATACTATTTAAAGTTAACCTTCTTATATTTATACTTATTATTATATTTTTTAGTTAAGTATTAATACTTTTTATTTTATTAAAATAAAAAGAGTAGGTTTATTAAATAGAGTTTAAGGTATAGCTTTTAGTATTATTTATTAAAATAACCTAAAAGCTTATAAAAGGAATAGAAGTACTTAATAGTATTAGGTTTTATTATACTATAAAGGGAATACTCTTTAATAGCTATTATAATAATTAAAGTAGCTTACTACTTAGACTTTTTATTATTTTATTATTTAAGCTTAATAAGGTTAGCTATAACTATAACTACCTATATAAGTATAATTATAAAAGCTATAATAGTATTATTAATCTACTTTAAAATAAAATAAGGGGTTATCTTAATAGTATAGAAGTTAAACTCTTTATTAAAACTATTAATAAAAAGATATACTATTAAAGCCTTAAGAACTTTAAAGTCTTTATTAAAAGATTATTATTTAGCCTAAGTATTAATAAATACTATAGTAAGTTTCTTAATAAATCTATATTAAGTAAAGGTTAGTATTAAGAGATAGTTAGCTATAGTTTAGAAAATAGTAATACTTTTTAATTTAAAGTACTTTTTAAAGGTTATAATTATATCTAATACTATAACCTTATTCTTAGTAAGGCTATAAGTATATTCTTTAAGGCTTATATTAATAAAAGTAATAGTATAAACCTAGTCTTATATCTATTCTTAAATAAAATCCTTTATAGTCTTACTATTATAAGCCTTAGTTAGGATAAAGCTATTTCTTTAGCCTTTTAGTAGTAATCTATTAAGATTATTAAATCTTAGTATATTAATTATCTTTAGCTTCTATTTAATTTAATTACTTTTAGATTTAAGCTTTAAAATATTTAATATCTCTTTTAGTATTAAGAATATAGTACTAAATAATAAAGTAGGTAATAAGGCTATAAGAAAATCTTAGCTTATATATAAGAGTTAAGTTACTAATAGTATTACCTATTAAGGAAGTAGAATTTTAAGATAATAAGAAGGATAATAAGCTAAGTATATAGTCTTTCTTTTTAAACTAAGTACCTTATATTTATTTAAAGGTAAAAAGTATTTAAGTAAGTAATAAGGAATTCTTCTTACTAAGTAAGTAGTTACTATATACCTTTTATAGTAGTTAAGACTATAGATTATAGTAAGTAATCTAGTAAATATATTTAAAACTATAAATTATAATAAGTAATCTAATAGGTATATTTATTTAAAGGCTATAACTATACTAAGTAAATTTATATTATAATATATATAAAATAAGTATATAAAGTCTATATATAAATTATTAGATAAGGTATAGTAGTAGAATTTCTTTTTCTTTATATAGAATTTTTATAGTAAATAGACTTATTAGATATACTCTAAATTAGCTAGAGTTTAGGGTTCTTCCTCTTTCTATATATAAGGAGTTATAAATTTCTTAAGTTTTATAGTAAATATTAGCTTATATAGATAGTAAGTAAATTTAGTAAGAAATTAATACTTTCTTTTATTTTATTAATAGCCTTTATAATATAAGTACTATTAGGCTTATAACCTATTAAGACTAATAGGGTATATATAGGGTAAAAGGTAAAGTTATTATATTATATAACTTCTATCTAGTTATATAGTATAGGTAAGTACTAGATATACTAAGTAATAAGAGATTATTCTTCTAGCTTTAGAGCTGCTTATTACTATAGATAACTTTACTATTAATACCTAAGCTTATCTACTAGTAAATAACTTTAGTTTAACTTAGGCTTATCTATTAGTAGATAACTTTAGTTTAACTTAGGCTTATTTACTAGTAGATAACTTTAGCTTAACTTAAGTTTATTTACTAGTAAATAACTTTAGCTTAACTTAAGCTTATTTACTAATAAATAATTTTAGCTTAACTTAGGCTTATTTACTAGTAAATAACTTTAAGTTTATTTACTAGTAAATAACTTTAGCTTTAATACCTAAGTTTATTTACTAGTAAATAACTTTAGCTTAACTTAGGCTTATTTACTAGTAAATAACTTT